TTTGGAGATCCTATGTTTTCCATATATGCTAGTGAAAGCTGAAGTGGCTGCAATTGAAGCGTGAACTGGATGCTATGGTGACCGAACGGCTGCATCCTCCTCTACAACACATCCTTTTTTGTTTTGTCCTGAAATTGTGCTGCATGTGATTGTGTTCCAATGAACTTATGTTGTGTGCATGCAATGCTTGTGAGATGCGTGGGCTTGAGAGTGAGAACCAGCTTGTAAGCTAAGCAAGACTCCTCTTGCTCTGCGGCGCTTCCTACATTCCTTCTGTTTGTGGTTGTTTTGTTGATTTCTATAGATTCCCTAATCTTCAACCTACTGTTATAATCTCCCTATCCAGCTAAGCATTTAGCCCTAGACCAGTCTATTTGGTGTCCTGTGTGGGCTATATGTTCGGCCAGTTCTGACTTTGGTATCCACAAACCTTTGCAGACTGTTTTATGTATGGGTCGACCCTCACATAGATGCTACCACATGAACACAAAACCTTATAGCAGCCCGGATGGAATGTGGTTCCGAAATTTCCCGGAAAGGTGGCATTACTGTGGGAAGTATTATTTTCTCTTTATAAATTGTCCTCAATAGTTCATCTTTCTTTTTCGAAAGTTGGCACTACAGTAGCATCAAGACCCATGAGGGGCTTGTGTCTTGTAAATATCAACCATCGGGACCTGGAACTCAGAATATTAAGGAATAATATTTACCTAATACTTACCTATTAGGATAAATTGCTTTAAAATTCTAGCTTATAGGATTACGGGAAATATGTATTTGGGGCAAGATAGTGGGATGGACCATTCGACTAGGGTCCTGATGCTACCGTCATGCCATCTTTCGAAAAAGATAGATAAACTGTTGTGGACAATTTATAAAGAAAATTTAACACTTTCCACAGTAATGCCATCTTTCTGGGAAATTTCGGGCCCATTTTCCAAATCAGGCTACTATAAGGTTTTGTGATCGTGTGATAGCGTCTATATGAGTGAGACTTGTCGACCTATACACAAGAGGTAATCTGAACATAAAACATCCTGCAAAGGTTTGTGGGTCCAAAAGTCTGAACAGGCCGAATATATAGCCCACACAGGACATCAGATAGATTGGTCTAGGGTCAAACGCTTAGCTGGATAAGGGGAAGCCTAAGGAATTTATAGAAATCAAAAAACCAGCCAACATCCTGAATAGAAGGAACGAGTTTAGGAACTACATGTGACTTTTGGACGGGATTGAAGAGAAAGAGGGAGAAAAAGAATTATAGCCGGACATGAGGAGGCTTGATTAACTCTAAATCTGGTTTTCATTCTCGAGCCCCACGCATCGCGAGCATTACTTGCACACAACATACGTGCAATGGAACACAATAATATGCGGCACCATTGCAGGATCAAACAAAAAGAAGATTAGTGTTGTAGAAGAGGATGTAGCTGTTGGGTCAGTTTCATCCATTTCACGCTTCAATTGCAGCTACTTCACTTTTCAATATCATGCAGAAAAAGCATAGGAGCTCCAACCAAATGATGAGATGTCTCATTAAGCGGATCTAGGTAAAGTATAAAAAATTATGTAGGATTGCAGCAGGCCACTTTTCTTGCCTTTGTGCTTAGTGAATTATCGTAACGCATGGTTTCCTGCTCTGATGATGTCTGTCACATGATGGACGATAGCTCAGCCATGATTGATCGGGGTCGTAGTGTGGTTCTCCGAGGACCTATTCGCACAAATCTACAATCACAGCTCCCAGGCAATCGCTCTGCAGCTTTCGGTGAGGCCAATTTACGAATATTTTCCACTCTCCTCTTCATACGAAATAACTTTAACATGAATTTGCTACTCATATTTGTAATGGCTTTAGAAACTATCCTTTCTTCTCAGCGATTCACTTCTAAGGGCTGCTGTTTGATAGGAAGTTTAAGATGAATTCTTAATATTTTGTCTAGGTAAGAACGAGTTACAGACTGCCTTTCCTTATTATCTCTTTCATCAATGGTTCTTCGCCTGCTTCATTAGAGGCTATAATTAGGCCGATAATCGCTTGGCTCAATTCATCTCAAAACATGCAAAAATCTTAATACGAAATTCGTCATTGTTTTTTCGTACATAGCTTGGAGTATAAATTGCATATTCTTGCTTGTATTTCTTCTCTTCATTATTTTTTTACTTAAAACAGACTGCTTAAGGAGCCGTTCAAGTATAAGCTTAAGCCGGGCTCGCACGTGATCCGTAAAACGATATCTGGCAAGTCCGCTAATCTCGGCAGCCTACTCGAGAACAACATGTTCCTCTCCTATGTCCGCGCACCAGTAGGTTCGGGAGTGGATCTGCTCGCGCTAGTTGATCTGTGCATAGTGCAGCCAAGCAGGGATGAATTCTGCCCGCCTACGTTTAGCCGACTCCAGGATCCTCTTAACAAGAATACGGTGAGAAGTTTAATCTGATTGAAGTATCATCCTATAATTTGGTTTGCTGTTTGATATTCTAAATAATTAATGATATACTGTAGATGGTACTTTTACTTGGAGCGAAGAAGAGGCCACAAAATATTTCGACCCTCAGAGCTCGGCGATCCACTCTAGGTTTAATAAGTCTCATGAATCGCCTTAATGCTCAGTTCGTGCTAATTTTTGCCATTTTAGAAATTGTCAAGTCAAGAAACTGCTCTCGAATCAGCCAGTCAATATAATATCTGTCTCCAGAATTTGTCGAAGTCAAGGCACACCTCTTTAAATATACTCTTTAACCAGTTGAATTGCATACGCAGCTGCCCATAAATATTCACATATTTGTGTATTCGCTTATCACCTACACACGAACATGAGGACGGAATGTAGCTAAGGATGAATAGAACTCACTTTGTCTGATAGTTGTTTGACCTTGTTTTTGCAACTTGGTCATATTGACAGAAAGACCTAGAGGAACGCAACTAGTCCGGAGTCTATAGTATGCATTATAATTTCTATAGTCGAATCGTGTACTTGGTACATTCCCAGACCTTTCGCGGGCATCTTAGTCTGCATCGTCAGTGATCCTTGCTTTTTTTAGCACCACACTACAGCTCGTCAAAGATACAAGTAAGGTCGATTCTTCGACCAATTGTCTGCGAAACAGTTGTCTTATCACCTGTCCTGGGCTATTTACCTATCATAATCCTCGTACCATCCCTTCACTATCACAATTTGTTAATTGCTTATTGTAGTATGGTGTGCCCTTATGAATGGATCTCATGATACCTCTTCACACCCCACACTGGCTTTCTTACCCCAACCCCTAACATTGTGTTGGGAACGTTGATATCAATCTGGAATATTATTCCACAATCCTCTTCCCATAGGTCAAACCAGAGTCTTCCTCTTGTCCTGTATCATCCGTCTCCTATCCATCTGGTTCGGGTATTCCACTTGACTCTTGCCAGCCTATCTGTGCTACTTCAGGCGTTATTCCCGACACTGCTTCAAGCTTTTGATGGCGCGTATACTCCCGCCTCGCTGAGTAGACCGACCAAGTCTAGATTCTTAGACTGGATTGGAGACTAACTTGAGGCTATAGATCCCGAGTAATTCTCATCGTCAAGCCTTTTTCTCCATGGGACACTTTTCCTGTCCACAACGCATCTACCCATAATACCAAGTCTATGACTTCCTATGTCCCAGTCTCTTGTTTTCCAACTCACAAGTTATGTTGTTCTACTTGTTTTGATTAGGCTCACTGTAGACCTATCATCTTGGCTTC